AAAAAATGAGCTGAGTGTATCACTGCTGTCATACAATGTCTGAAGAAGTTTTCTGCACCAGCAGCCTGTTGTACAACTGTGTTATCTTTATGTTGTTTTTAAAAACTCAAATAACAGCCTAAAAAACTTGATTATGGAATAAATTTTTATGTAAAATCTCTTAGAGATACCCTTATAGTTTTCAAAGTCTGATCAACTCTTAACAGAAAATGAAAACCAGAAATGACCCACCAGTTTTGCAATGAGTGGGTGCAGAATTTTGGTGGAGAATAATGCTTACATTTATATCACTAAGTAGATATTAACACTGAAAAGTTAATTTGACAAGCCATAAAACAAAAAGATGAAAATATTTTTTACCTGCTCCAAATCAAATTATCACCTGAAATATAATTAGTTTATTTTTAAACTTCATATTTGCAAGTGAGAGATAAATATACTGTATAATCTATTACACAAATTAATATAGAGAATTACAATTTGTACTGATACTCCAACATAGTTCCTTTAGATTGATGGTATTAATATATTCTCTCAATTCTGTCTAATCATTAATGTCCTTGGCATTCTATTATCTCTAAATGCAACAGTTGTTTTTAGAACATAAAACCTGGGCATCTCTTCTAACTCTGTATATGCAACACACACAACTTCCATCTATTCTTGTGAGCCTTTATACCTTACCACACATAGCAAGTGACACAAGCTTAGCTATCTTTTATTTGTATTCTAAATAAGCCTTTGATCATTTAAGGTTTAGTAGACAAAGATAACCCAATAAATGATACAGTCGATACTGTGAAAATCTGAAGAGTCTACAAAGTGTATGTATTTAAAGTTTTTGAGACAGGGGCTCCCTATGAAGTTAAGGCTGGTTTTGATTCTAAATTATGTAGTGCAGGTTGGCTTTGAACTTATGGCCTAATACCTCAGCTTCCTGACTGCTGGGGTTACATGTGTGCCACCCAGCCGGGCCAGGACTGTGAAACATTTATTTATTTATTTATTTTGGTGTTGACAGTGAATCTAGCAGTTGTTTTATCTGTAACTGGGAACAGAAGCACATGGAGGCTACATGTGATGAAACTGGTCCCTTTCCTTTTCCATTTTTGAAGCACCAGGTGCCTGTGGCTCCTAGATTCAAAAACTTTTTTTTGTCTTTTTCATTTACTTGAGTCATTTTTGCCAACCCGACCCAATGAAGGAAGTAACAAGGCATTTTATGGTTTCTACCTAAACTCAGAAAGAGAAAAAAATCTGATTTTTTTTCACACCAGGGAAGAGAAAATATTCAGTACCTTAAAACAACAATACCACTGTGCCACATGAAGAAAATACCTTTTGTAACATGTATCAGAAACAAAGATTGCTCTCTAGTAAAGTATATGTTAGGAAAGAAGAGTCTCCAAAGAACAAAGAATACAATGACTGATGGTGGACTAGATGGTGGTATTTACACAGTAACAGATGATGGTTGTTTTGGTATTGTTTAGTCTTAAGTACAATATTGAAAAGCAAAAAAATGGGAAAAAGTTGTGAAAACGCTTCCACTCCTATGAGTCTGTTTCATAAAGTTAGGTCTAATTCCATGCACATAACCAAAGAACAATGTACAGAATAAGTAAATTCAGAAGGCAATTAAAAATCAAAAATGGCTTATGCATTAGGTATAGGTTAGTTCACCAGAAAAGGGAAGACAATTCAATAAATTGCCTCAAAAACATACAGGTATCAAAGAGAGCAGGGTCTTCATTTGCAACTAATAATACTCACTGGAAATGAGCATCCTTTATGACACATGTATTTATAACAGTTATCACAGTAGCATTAGTTACAGTGAAAAAATTAGCTATAATCTAATTGTTCAATGGAGTGATGATTAAGTAAATTATGTCAATCTAACAAAAATGAGGGGTTACTAGTAGAGAGCGCAGTATGAGCACTGACTCATCAGAATGCGTGTAGTGCATGATACCAAGTGTTAGTGTTGGTGGGGTGGGGTGTAGAAGCTGTGGAAGAGTTTGGGGTTAGGCAATTACTTTTTACCAACTTGAGTCATTCTAACAACCAGTATGGCAGTGCCAATATATGATGGCTATGTGCCATCGGTGGCAGCAGCTAACAGCACCAAGCTCTTACTCCATCCCAAGACACAGCAGAAAGTTCAAGCAACAGTTCTGAGATGGGCAGTATTTCCTTCTCTTTTTCCCTCCCTGTCTTCTTCCTTCCTCTCCTTTCTGATTTCAATAATAGGGATTGAAATCAGAACCTTAAAACTGAACTATATCCCCGGCCCATTTTCAAGTTTTTATTTTGAAACAGAAGGTCTCACTAAGTTGCTAAATTGTGGGAGGTGGGCTTGAACTTATCATCCTTTTGTCTCTCAGTCTCTCAAGAGTAATAAGATTAGACTTATGTGAGCAAGCCTGGCATTTTTGTTCTTTTATAGATAACAGAAAAGATTCAAGAGCTTAAATCACTTTCCCAGGTTCATTCTACTGAGGTTCAATCTCACGCCTACTTGCCAAGAAAACCTGGCAGCTTATTGCTATTTTGTTGCTTCCCAAAACTATCCAGCCATATGCTATAACATTAAAAGGGAACATTAATATAATAAACTATAAATAAATTAAGATTACACTATATTGCAGGGTGAATTTTTTCTTTCCTGTAGACTTTCCAAAAGTTTTATAATATGATTATATTGTTTTTATAAGATAGATTGGCAAGGAAAACTGCAATATGTGGAGAGACTTCATAACAGCAAGGATTCATAAACACTATAGAGTTATTAAAATAAAGTTACAAAGTTTCAAATACATTTTTACTTCTAAAATGAGAGATTTCATACATCTGAAATGATTTGACTACTAGTCTAATTGAATAAACAAAGCACCTCTTGTAGCCCTTTCTAGCATTAGGATTCTGTAATACATTATTAATACCATATAAAAGAAACAAAAATATATTATTGGGCTACAATTATGGAGAAGCCAAAGCATTAATTCATTCAATTAACATTTACTGTCTGTTTACTATGTGTCAGTTATTTGCAGAGCTGATGGGGAATCCAAGGTAGGCAAGAACTTTGCCTCCACAGAGCTTACAGCAATTCCACGGCTGCAGTTCTGTCTTGGCCTCAAGGTAAATATAAGTTCATTTTAAGCCAACAGCAACATGTTGAAGGGCAGGGAGCTCTGGCTCCAGGCCCAGGAGTAGCTGTGAAGGACTTTATCTATTTGGGAAGGTGGAAAGATTCATTTCAGAGCTTCAGCATGGGTTCCCTCCCACACGGGCCAAGATCAACAGTTGAATAAAGAACCCTTAGAAGCTGCATGGTGGTAAATGTCTATAGTGCTAGCTCTCTGGAGGATGAGGCAGGAAGACTGAAAGTTAGAGCTTGGCTGGGCACTTAGTGACTTAGCAAGACATTGTGTTACAATAAAAAAAAAACAAACTGGGAATATAGTTAGGGATGAATAAATAAGAACCCTTATAAACCAACATGATTCTCTAGATGCACTCTGGCCCTGGGATAGCATTCATTATTTTTGGGATGTTGTTATTTCTTTAGGTTTCTTGGGGGGGATGGGCTAGACACAAAAATTATAAAGATAATCAGTAATTTTGGGGGAGTTAGCTGATCTTGAATCTTATTGTTAAGGAATGAATCTACTATTTAATGAAGCTGTGCTGCCAAGAAAACAACTCTCAAACATGAATGTCACAGAAAACACGTTCCCATTGCCATTATTAGTGTGAACGCTATTGAGTGCTCTGGTTGATCTGACCTGAGAACCTGCTCCTTCCCTTAAACAGATCACCTGTGAATCTGAGATAGAGAAACAATCTGTCTGGACTTCAATATTTTATTAATAATGTGTTTGAGAGGTTCAATTAAGATTTTAATATCAGGGATATTTAAAAAAAATTCTCTGGCCATTCTTGGACTGTTGGGAAAGAGAACAAGAAGTCACTAAGAAGCAAGCCCTCCCTGTGAATCCATGCCATGCATGGGCCACTGTGCGGAGAGCCAGATGCCAGCCCCTTCCAATGCATAGGCTGGGTAACAAGAAGAGTCAACTCCCACCCACACCCCCCATCACACTCCCATAAGTGATCTGATGATCCAGGCTGTGACGATAGCTATTGAGATAACTTACAATTTAATGCTTGCAGTGTTTAGTGCTTCAGTAACTTCGCAGGTCTAAAGCTGGTAGTCTGATCATCTATTCAGAGGATAACAATATGTAATGTATCATCTATGGGGGAATCTCCTTCTGAAAGTGGCAGCCATTGTTAACTCCCTCTTTTCTTGTTTTGAAGTCTTGTATCATTTTCATTGTTTTGGGGGTTGGGTTTTATTCTGTTTGGTTTTATTATATCTGGTGGCATGGTAGCCATTTTGGATTTACTACTGGTCTTGTTTTGAAGTCTTGTATTGCATTCATTGTTTTGTTTTTATTAGTGTTATTCTTTTCTTTTTGTTTGATTTTTACCATGTCTGAAGGTATCTGCAGCTACTTTGAAGAAAAGAAGTGGGATTATGGTAACCATTGTTGATTTTGTACTGTTTTGAAATCCTGTGTCACTTATACTGGTTTGTTTTGATTGGCTTTATTCTGTTTTATTTTGCTTGGTTTTATTCTCTTAAAAATAAAATAAAATAAAACACTTTCTGTTAAAGAGGCATAAAATCCATGTTACCTTCTTTTAAATTAAGTGTCTAAGTAAATTAATATGAACACCCATTCCCATGGACTCTTCTTTCATCTTTCTTTACTGTTTTCCCTCTCAGGTCGAACCAAATCTCCCTGGAAGTATGAGCATTCAGGCTGCTAAATACACATTAAGAGGTTTGCTGATTGTGACAGTCTGATGATGGCTGGAATATCTTTTCAATCAACCATTAGACTCCTCTATGTACAAAGAAGGAGGCGGGTATATTCTTAATGTGTTAGTCAAAAATCTCTAATATATGTATATATTAGTAATTTCACCTCCGATATAACTTGGACTGTCCAAAGGTCATAATTACCAGTGGTACATGGAAGGTAGTCAAGACTAGAATAACCTGGAGAGAAACAAAAGCACTCTGTCAATAATAAAGATATTCCAATGACATGTTGACATATTATGAGACTAAATCGCACCTGTAAGATTGTTCACTTTGGAGCAGTCTATATTGCAGTATATTTTTTAAAAAATGAAGAGGACCAGGGATTTAGCTCAGTGGCACAAGTGCCTGCCTGGCAAGTGTGAGTTCGTGAGTTTGATCCCAAGTACCAACAACAACAACAACAAAAAATTAAATAAAAGACAATGTGTCACCCACCAGTGAATGTATAAAGGGCCTAGATCTCATACTCTATGGATTCAAATATAGAACATTAAACTCAACTCACTTTGTTGAGATGTTACCCCTTCTCAATTGAGGTAGTGCAACAAAGGTACTCAAATATACATTGCAATAAAGGAAGGATTTAACTACCTTGTATCCAAATCATTACAAGATATTATCAGGCAAGAACCATCTCATTTTTCTGCCTATATAGATTACTGTGGGTGTTCTCATAGAGGTTACTGTGTCACATATATTTGCCTATCCTGTCTTTCCGCTGTTAGTTCTCCATGAAGTTCATTTTATAAATAATTATTTGTTTATAAAATGTATACAATAGAAAAAGATCTTGGTTAGATTAGTATGGGAGTCTAAGGAACCTGAAAAAGCTATAAAAGAAATCTCAGAGATACCCAAATGGATAAATTGTAAAAACTGGAGTTATAACTCAAATTTTAGAAGAAACTGAAACAAGCTTTATAAAAATTCTACTGGAAACTTAAAAACTAATTAAAATAAGCACTTGTTTTTCAAAACCAAAATGTATTTCTTTAAACTTCTAATATAGCTATCATGTGACTCAAAGCTATGATCACTGAAATATGAGGAGGCATGTGACAGGGCCCCTTCCCTCTATTAGGCAGATAACAGAACCAAACCCTGATTCAAGACCTGAGATCCATTTATCTTGAACACACTGTCTTAGCAGGGTGCCACATACATAAAAGGAAGGATAAGGAGCTGACTGCCTTCCTCTATTCCATAGTCTTGGTGGTACTTCTTTTTTAAATAGACAGGGATAACGGAGTTGAACACCCAGGGGCCCAAAGGTACCACAGTCCTTTAACACAACTGTGGGAAAAAATACAGGAAAAACACACAATTTAGGGGTACAAATGCTAAGATGTGTAATGTGCTCTTTCCTGCTTCCTCACAGAGATTTTTCCAAGTATTATCTCAGCACACAGCACTGTATTCCCTTTCTTCTGCTTGCTCATTTTGATACTAAGGAGCTAATAAAGATTAAAAGTGTCTATTTTAGCTGGGTGTGGTTGTGCACACCTGTAATCCCAGCACTCAGGAGGCTGAGGCAGAAGGATCATTGCAAATTCATGGTCAGCCTGGATTACATAGTGAGTTCAAAGCCACCCCGAATTTACATAATGAGACCCTAACTCAAAAAAAAAAAAAAAAAAAACAGACAAACAAACAAACAAGTCTATCTTCCTATTATGGAAGAAGGTGGTAAAAAATGTCTCCAGTTTTAAACCAAAACCAAACCAACAACTTCCTGAAAGTCTGTCCTGCAAACAACATGCATTTGCTTCAACTGAAGCTGAAAATGGTTTCAGAAAGTAATGAGATTTAGTGCTTCCACTCCCAATCTACATCCCCTTACTAGACCGAAATAAATACTTCTTACCCCAGTGCGATCTCGAACGCAGGACAAAGATACTGAGCCACTGAGATCATCAAACACATGCTATAATGGGAAGAACAAATGAAATTCATTTAGAAATCTACTCTTCTACAATTTATGACTTCGTTGTATGATGCAGAACTTTTTCACTGTTCTGAGTAATTAAGCTCATAATTGTAAGGGAACACAGGTCCCCAGGACAAAGTTGGGGAGAAGCAAGATTTAATTACTTAACTAAATCACAAATAACTTAAGAATTTAAATTCTCTCTCACACAGAGTAAGCCAAGCAGATGAGTTTTCTTTACTGTACCAGATGGGGAGATGGGATAATCTAACTGCTTTCTCCAACATGACTAAACATAAAGATAGAACAAAGTATTCTTAGGATGCTTTAAAACAAGAGACCAGATCCCACAGTGACAGACAAAATTATAACCCATCCACGATAATTTAAATTTTTCTAGCCAGTTCTTCACGGTACAGCTGAGTAGTTACTAGCTGTATTCTTTTTGCTCCAAGGCAAATCACCAGAAGGACAAGAAATAGAAGCAAGAAAGCAAATGGGCTTGATATATATCTTTATTAAATAATAATAGTATAAAATAATAACAATAAATTTTATTAAAACTGTGGTGGGAGAGGGAAGCAAAAATGCAAAAGTTGGCATATTATATTCAAAATACAGTACTCATGTTGAAATATAGTTACTATAATAAATTGTTATAACCAGGTGTGGTGGTGCATACCTATAATCACAGCACTTGGGAGGCTAAGGCAGGAGGATCACTGTGAGTTTGAGGGCAGCTTCAGTCATGTAGTGTGTTTAAGGCCAGTTAGAATTACATGCTTGATGTGTCTGCACACTTCTGTTTTTTCTACCAGAGCCCTCTTCCCTCCAGACATTTGCATGCTTCTCCCCTTCCCTTCCTCAGTCTCAGTCAGGCTTGTTGTCTCCTCAATGAGGGCCTGTTAAGCCCCCTCTAAAAACTTCAGCTTTCCACTTCTGTCAGCCTCCTTATCACTCCTTGCTATCTTGCTTTTTACTTACATGTTTCCTATTTTTGAAATTATTTTCCCATTACCAGAATTTTATCTCCAAGAGAGTGTGTTTGTTTGTTTGTTTGTTTGTTTATAGCTAGTGGACTAGAATAGTGCCTGGAACACATTAAGTGCCAAGTCCATATTTTTTGGAATAAATTAATGAGGAAAATTGAACAGAAATTCTTGTAACACAGCTGTTTTATTTTATAAACTTAACTTATGAAAACAGTAATGCAGAATGATTTCACTGCTTGTTTGAGCACTAGCACAATAGAGAGGAAGTGAATATCTTAGAATAATACTTGCCATCTTTAAAAATATCTTAGTATTTTTTTAATTAAAGAACAATAGCCTGGCCATCTCATATTTAAAGATGACATAAATATCTGGCTTTTAAAGAAATGAAAAATATTTTAAGGTTAAGATAGAAAATATGGATATATCTAGATTGCTATGACATTTATAGTTGATACATATAACACAAAGCTGTAGAAATTAAAGATATGTGAAAAATATTAGATGTTTATTTTAGAATAGGCAAGATCTGATAGAAATGTGTAGTGAGTAAATGTCTTGTATTCCCCTTTACAAATTGTCAAAAAACTGGTATTTTATTCCCATAAAAAAGAAAGAACAATAATTTCATTGAAATGTATATAGCTTGAAAACAAAGAGCCAGACATGGTGGCACATGCCTATCAGCCCAGCACTTGGGAGGTTGAGGCTGGAGGATCACTGTGAGTCTGAGGGCAACCTGAGCTACCCAGTGACATAGTGAGTTCAAGGCCAGTCTGTAATACACAGTGAGAACTTGTCTCAAAAAAAAAAGCATATGAAAACAACTTAATGTTATCATTCTAGAACTATTAAAAGGCAAACAAAAATGATAAACTTAATGTTAACAGAACTGTGAGGAAAGAGAAACTTACACGGTGCTGATGACAGTAAAGTTTGTGGAATCTCTTAAACATTAAAATGATATGTATCAGAAAATGTTAAAATTTTTCATATCTTGTGGACAGTGTATTCCACATCAGGAAATTTATCTACAAGGAAGTAAATAAGCCAAAGCAAACCAAAAATAATCTATTTTCTACTCTGTAGAAAAGTGAAAAACTAGAAAAAATGCAAATGCCAAGTAATAGAGGAATTTCTAAGCAACTTTTCTTTAAAAACACGTTGGAGCATTAAAAATGACAACGTAGGACTTAACACGAGGGAATGTAAGTGTCAACATAGATGATCTACCACCTGATACATTCAACTTGAAATGTTATTTTTCTGTAACAAATTCAAAAGGGGACACTCTTGGGATAAAAATTTGAATCTTTGGGACAATACAGAGTCTGGAACTAATTGTACAAAATGAAAAATCACCTTACGCAAGGTCATGACACTCATCAGACTGAAAAGTCTAAGAAATTCCCTGTGAAGCCTGAAGCTTGAAGTTAGGATTTAATTCGGCCTTATGGATGCTATCAATCCTATCTCATGGATCCCCTTACCTTGCAGGAAGTAGAAAAAGGACAGCTGGACAGGCAACAGAGAAATAGTCAGAGGCTGAATCCAGCTTCACAGACCACGGGTGTCCATTGAGGAGGAAGAAACAAACCATTTCAGAGGCCCCACACTTCTGGAAACTAAAAAGGGAGCATTAGGCCAGGGAGGTGTCCTCAGGCCATAGGAGTGGCAGATATCAGAAACGGACACACACCAGAGTAAAGGTTCAGTGTTGGGGAACTTGCTGTGACCCCCAAACCCTCTGCGTATGATGCAGGATCCCTGAAACCCCTAATTAGAACACATGGCAAGCTGAAGAGCAGCTATAATTTATTTGTTCAACTCATATTCCAGGTCAGCAGGAAGTGGTGAGGTTTTGCCCACCAGTGAACCAGCCTGCTTGGATTTGCATTCTGACTCTTAACTTTTATTACCTCTGTGACCTTAAGCAAGTCAGTTAGGTTTGGTTTAACTCTATTTCCCCAGGGAAAATGTGGAACCACAATACCACCTACTTCATGGTGTTGATGTGGGGATTAGATGTAGCAAAGCAGGGAAAGCTTCTACTCTGGAACTCCGATCAGCTCTTAAGCATGCGTTATTCTTATATATTCAGAGTGTCTTGCTCATGCAGGAAAATGCCTAGAACCATGCCTAAGAGACTTGGAAAGGACTGACTTGTGTCCGTGTTAGGCCATGGAGGTGTCCTCAGGCCACAGGAGTGGTAGATATCAGAGACGATGGACACACACCAGAGTAAAGGTGTTATTGGGAGCATCAGGATTTATAAATTGGTATCTAGGACGTCAGGACTTTGTAACCAAAGGTTACCGAATCAGTTGAGATTTTAACCAGACTCTTAATTTGGAAGGAGGAAGACAGAAAACCTTCAACCTATTTCCTCTGGCGAGTATGGGCTAGTGAGGAGGCTGGATATCCTGAGCCTTCACATCTCAGATATGCTGCCAGGCAGATGTGCTTTATCAGAAGCCTCTTCACAGTCAGCTTGGGGTCCCTTGCTGAAAGCAATTCCCCTTGAATTGCTTCTAGTGAGGCAGGGTTGGTCCCACTGCAGTCATGGAGCCATTGGGCACTAGATCATGGATACCTTGTAAATCCCCGCTGTGTGGGAGGCAGGTCCAGTAACATGCTCAGGAATTTAGGAAGTGACTGTGCATTTTTTTTCTTTTTCATTCCTGGTGATAGCCTGACCATTGGCTGAAGGTGGTTGGTGTCAAAATTAAATCCTGATGTTCTTGCATTTTTCCTGGAAACAATTATGAATTTGGCTGTCTGGATGGAAGATGACCTGGCAAGTAGAGAGAAAGCATGAAAGGGATCTGGGCTGGAGGGAGAAATATCTCAAGGGCGTTGTTTTGAAGCTTCGATGTGTCATGTGCTAGTGTCCTCCTATATGTTCCTGAGAAAATTTTCATTAAAACCTTTTCTTGAAGTTAAATTTCTTTAAAATACTGTGCTTATTAAGAAGCTTTTGCACAGCAAAGAGAAACCTCCAACAGAGTGAAGAGACAACCCACAGTGGTGGAAAAATTGTTCCTCAGACAAAGGAGTGCTATCTAGAACATATAAAGCACTAAAAAAAAAAAAAAAAATCAAACCCCTCCAGTTTAAAGACCCAATACAAGACTGGCATCTGAGATGAATATATACTCCTCAGATGAAGAAGTGCAAGCAGTAAATAAACGTATGAAAAAATGTTCAACATAGCTGGTCATTCAAGAGATGCAATATATATATTTGTATTTTTTGTTTTTATCAGGACCATGGATTGAACTCACAACCACATACTTGTAAGGCAGGCACTTATCCTGCTGAGCTAAATCCCCAGCCCCTAAGTGATGCAAATTAAAACAGCACTGAGATTCCATCTCACTCCAGAAAGAATGGTCATTATAAATAAAATCAATCAATAGCCAGTTCTGGCAGGCCTGTGGGGAAATGGGAATCTTTCTTCACTTTTAGTGGGAGTGTAGACAGGTACAACCACTGTGGAAATCAGTGCGGAGATTCCTTGGAAAACTAGGACTAGAGGTTCCATTTGATCCAGCTATTCCTCTTTTGGTATCTTCCTGAAAGAATTATAAAGCATTATAACTCTGTGATATATGCACATCCATGTTTATAGCATGATAATTTATAATAGCCAAATCTTTGAAATAGTCCAAATGCCCATCAACTGGTGAATAGAAAAAGAAGATGTAGGTTTTTAAAATATACAGTGAAGGAGTAGGGACAGCCTTTCCATGTGAGTCAGCACTATTTGTGGTCTGTGGAGGGAGAGAACAAGGCTTTAACCAGGAAGCAAGCCCCCTCTGTGAGCCAGTGTCATGCACAAGCTGCCTTGGGCAGATGGACTGCCAGACCCCTTCTGACACACTGGCTGGTAAACAAGAAGAGCCAATTCTGCCCTCCCCTACTGTAACTGACTGCTGATCCAGAGAAACACAGGCTGTGATGATAGCTATTGAGGTGAAATGCAATTTGATGCTTGTGGTATTTTG